GCTCTGGAAGGATCTCATGTCTACCGTGGGCACTTGCGCTGGGGGCCCCTTGGCCAGGTGGATCACCGTCCTGAGGTCGGGGCTCATGTTGAGCGAGTGAACTTTTGCCTTGCGCTCCTGCTCTGGCGCTCCGTCTGGGCTGTAGCACTCCCTCAAACGGAACATCCTGAACAGTATTTCACGTGCTCCCCTCTCTCCTCGTGCTTTGCGCGCGAGCTTCTGGCTTCTCCCTCCCCCCCCGTCGCGCGCGCGTGTGCCCCCCCGCCCCCGCCCTGTGTTGTGTGGTGTGTGGTGTGTGTGTGTGTGTGTGTGTGTGTGTGTGTGTGTGTGTGTGTGTGTGTGTGTGTGGGGGGGGGGGGGGGGGGGGCAGTTTGTGTCCCTTTCCCGCTTCCTTGGCAGCCTGGTGGCACCCCTGCCCAGCCTCGAAACCTTCTCGTACGACTGAGGCTGTGCGAGGGAGGATCCAGAACTCGGTGCATATGTTGGCCACGTCTCTCTGCTCTGCTGCTACGCGGAGGGTTAGCTTCTGGACAGCGACCAAGGCTTGCTGGAGTTCTGGGGCTGCGGCGGCGTTGTCTGCTCTCACTTGCTTGTGCCCCCTGCCCCCGCCACCTCCTCCTTTCCCAGATAGCTGCTGGTCCCCGCTGCTGCTGTCCGCTCCGCTGGCTCCTTCCACCGCCCTCTTCTTCTTCGCCGACGCCCAGGACACCCTCATCTCTGCCAAATCGTATTGTGTGCGGTCCAGGATGGTGGCAAATGACGTGTGTCTGGAAGTCTTCGAAGCGGCTAGCTTGATACTGGCAAGCACTACAGACCAACCCGCTCCCTCTTACCCCAATCAGCTTGTGTTCCCACTTCGAGAACGCAATGTAGCAAATGCCCGTCCCCTCTGCCGCTCTTGCTGCATGGTCTGTTGCGGCTCTCTTACTGGAAAAGATCGATCTGCACCGCGGGCGCTGGTTCGTGATCACAAGCTTAGGTATGAGCGGCTCTATATTGTGCTGCGCTCTCCTGTGCGCTGCCAGTGCCGCTGCTGTCCGAAATCTACATCCGCATGCTGCGTCTGCCCCCTCCGGGTTCACGCTCTTAAAGTCACGCCAAAATCTGTCATCCAGTTCTGCTGTTTTTTTTTTTTTTTTTCTTCGGGCTCGTTGGTTTCTGTTTGTGGTCTACTTCGTTTCCATTCCCTAGCAATGCGATTCAACGCTGAAGGGTCCGTCTTAAGCCACTTCTTTTTTTCTTCGGTTCCATCTGTAAATACACTCATGTCACTCGACCGTTTGTCGTACCACTCTTTAAACTCTTCGTCGTGATTAGCAAGATAGCGCATGTCCTCCAAATACTGCTTGGCCCACGAAGTGGGCTGCGTAATATTATTGTGCTCATTGGTGCGCTTTATCCCTATGCTCTGGTCACTCTTAGACGTGCCGAATACTGCTGCTATGGTTGCCTCGTGGTCGTTCGGGAATTGCGACCAGCGCTTGTACCACTTTAACCTTCTGACTCTCAGCTCGTATGCGCTCCTGTTGATCCTCCATTCCCTGAACACCTCCTCCACCGTCGTTGTCCTCTTCCTTCCCTGCTCGTCAGTCCAACAGTTCTTGCCCCTCGACAAATACCTGAGTAACTTGCACAGAGTAGTGTCGATCGCGTCCGTGCACTTCTTACTTATCACAAAACATGATAACCCACTCACTGCTGCACCCGCAATAAAAGCCATGACCGTGCCACGCTTGATGACCTTCGAGGTCTTGGACGACCAGAACGTGCTACGCTGTCTCCATGCTGCCCTTGCTGCGTCGCAGCGTCTCCTTATCTCGTTTCCTAGTCCCTGTTCCGAAGGTATGTAGGGCCCCAACGCTCTCATCTCTCGCAAGGCCTCTCCCCCGAGTCCACTCGTCTGCTTCCTCAGTGCCCGAGTGCTTTGGTAGCTTCGTACGCCTCGTAATACTAGAAGGTGGTTTGTCTCGTCGGGGTTGAGCCGCCAGTTTCCTGCTGTTCTTGCCTCCTCGAGTCTACCGCTTACCAGGTTCAGCTGCTCTACCACTTCCTCTTTTCTTGCTGCGAAAGGTAGCATCGTAATTATAGTAATATCACCCATGAAGGTGCTAATGCTCAAGTCGTAGTATTGCTCATTTATGGGGTGCTGCGTATCGTTCACCTGCTGTCCTTCCTGTTCTCTCTCTCCCTCTAGCCAGCCTGCGACGATTGGGTTGTAGCAATCGTTATAGTCTCGCGGAGCCAGCGTGAAGCCCATCTGGGCCCCTTAGTTGCTTTTTAGGTCAACTCTTTCGCCGGCTGCCTGCAGGGACAAAGCAGTGTGCTCCAGCGCTCCGTGCGCATACGGGATGTCATGCTCCTCGGTGGTGCGATCTATTTGTTCTCGGAGTAACGCTCTGTCGGTCGACGCGAATGCGTTTGTACAGTCAAAGTTGCTCATGGTAAGCGATCCCCCTGCCTGTTCACATCTCCACTTCGTGGCCAGCAATACTAGCGCTGCATTTTCCCGCGACCTACGCGCTAGTCCTCCGTGTGCAAAGTGAGGTCAAACAATAGGCAGCGCTCTTTTGTGCATCCCGCTGTGCCATGCCATGCCAGCTGCGCAGTATGCGTGCATGATGCGCTTCCCTGCCATTCCTATCTTTACTGTTCGCTTTCTCTGCTGCAAGGCTGTGCGATCGTAGCATGTCTAGCGGCATAGTCTGGCATTGTCTGAAGTGCTCCATAATCTTCAGCAACATTTTCGGCGCTTCGTACTCTACTTCTTTAAAAAGCTGCATTCCCACTCCCGATAGTTCCGTTCTGCCAAACTGCCAGTGGGGGTCATCGATAACTTCTTGTGCTGGCTCTCCCGCTGCTCGCTGGCGTGCTCCTACTGTTTCACCTGGGTTCCAACCTAACTTCTGCAGGATCTTTCTTCCTTTGGCTAGGATGAAGTGCGTGCTGTGCTTCGCAAGCTCCTCCTCGTCTTCCTCTTTCTCTGCTTCTCTAATCCTCTTAGCTTCTAGTCTCTTTGTTGTCTCGGTTGGCCCAGGCAAGTTAATACTTGGCTCAATTAGCATCCACGCGATTTCAACAGGGAGACCCCACTCTGGAGATGCTCGTCGTTTTTTTTGCCTTTCTGCAATGCGCTTTCATGGTCCAGATATCTTTCTGCACTCTGATGTTTAGATCACCGTCCTAGGGGAGGAATGGAAAGTCACCATCGCCCAGCTCGCAGTCGTTCGCATAGTCCTGCCTAGTCTGTTCCCAATCGAGCGGGGCGCGCGCTAGCCCTCCCTCATGCGGGTCACGACCTAGCTCCTCTCTCCAGTGCTCGCCTGACCAGTGACAACGGTGGCTGGAGTAGAACTTCTTCTTTGGCCCCCGCCCAATCCGCTGATGATCTACCCTGAGTCTATGCATGTCAGCGAATCTGTTCTCCTTGTATGCCTCCCAGATCTCTCGAACGATACCTTCTCGCTCTGCAGCTACGTGTGCTTCCCTAAGCTCCTTCAGTGCTGCCGTCACTCTTTTCAGTTCTTTCTCCACCTCTGTCCTGCTAGCCTCTGTGCCATCCTCGTGTAGTCCTTCTCTGTGATGCCTCCTCTCCTCCAGTAGCTGCGTCCTTCTCGTGCGCATCATGCTGCATGTGCTGTCATTGCTGCGCGCGCCCTGCTTGCACGTGCCGTGCAACGCCGCGCTCGCACACCCCACGTACTTTTTCCATGAGAAAGCCGGGGACTTCTTGGAATGCAGCTGCTCCCAGATATCTATAGGTACCATTTTTTTACTGTTCATTTATCTTAGTGAATAGCTCTTCTCTTCTGTAGCCTTTCTGCAAGCACCTCATCAAGCACCCCCGATCTATCTTGTCATTGTCACCTGTCGGGTACCCGTGGCTTGTGACTGACATCTCCACGTGTATACCTATCGGGATGTGGTCCCTGGACCTTCTATCTGGGATCATCTGGAGTCTTTTTTGCTGCTCTATATAGGCAGCTGCACTGAGAGACAAGCGGGATGGCCACGATAGGGACAGCCACGTGATCAATATGTGACTCTTGCCCCTTGGGGCCGTAGAAGGTGGGCCCATGCTCGTAGGAAGTAGTTACCACAGCCAGCCCGCTCTTGTAGCAGAACTCTCTGTATGCCCTACCATTCTCGTTCTCGCAACAAAGGTTCTTTCCTCCTAGGGTCGCGCTTCTTGTCCTCTGCATGGTACCATCGTCATCTCTATGTATTCCTAGTCCGCTATTCACGTCCCCTCCTATTATAATAGCACATCTCACCGCCAGTGCGTCCAACTGCTGGTCTATCCACTTAAATACCCTTTCTGCGACCAGTGTGTGCTTCGCATCACTCATCGGGGCGAGGTAGATACAGAAGGCCACGAAGTCAACTTCATTCGTCTGAATACGAATGCCACCCGCCCGCCCTTTTATTTGCACTGGAGGTACGTATACAGTGTGCAATGCTCGACTAGGTATCCGATTGTGTACTAAAATCGTGACCCCGCATGCGTCCGACACTAGCTTTCCCTTCCTCTTCCCAAAGTGTACTCCCCAGTGTCGCGCGTGTGCATGCTGCTGCGCTCCATGGTCGGGCTGTGCAACTTGGCATGTGCCAGATACAGGCACCACGTCCCACGATCCCAACTCGCTGGATATATCTTCATGCCTCTCGTACGATGCAGACAACGGGTTGTATGTGCACGCTCTCATAATTCTCTCCGTCAGTACAGCTGCCAGAAACCTCCCAACTCGTTTCATGCAAGCAGTAGGCCTCCTGCAAGAGAGGGAAGTGAGGTACAGTATCCTCGCTCCTGAAAGGGAAGGTTTCCTACCTTGGAGCGGGCTGCCCGCGCGCTGTGCACGTCTGAGCCGGCAGCTGAGGAGGAGGAGGAGGAGGAGGAGGAGGAGGAGGAGGAGGAGGCGGAGGAGGAGCCGACCGTACAGAGGGCTGAGTCGCAGTCCAAGCGGAGGCGGAGGCGGATGAGGATGAGGAGGAGGCCGATCCGCTCCTGCAGAGACGGCGGTGCGCTGCCAGGCCCGCTGCGGACGAGCAGGGCCAGCGTCCCCTCGGACAGGACGGTGCCGAACATGAGGAGGATCGTGAATATCAGCAGGCTGGACCACAGCAGCACCTCTAAGATTCTCGAGGGCTCCAGAAGATGCTCTTTCGAGGGCAGTCGAAGCTGCTCTGGGACTCGTCCCCAGAGGCCCCAGGAGACCTCAGGTTCGGCGGCAAGCCCAGGGAGGAAGTGAGAGGGGGCAGTCCTGCTCAGAAGGTGGCTTGGCTTCTCAAAGCCCTCGCACTTTCTGAGAAGCTTTCTGCGTCTTCGGGGAAATATTAAAGCACTTCTCAGAAGGTCAAATGTCCTCCGAGCCTATTGAAGAGGCCCGCCCCCTGTCACTTCCCCCCAGGCTCGCCGTCGACGGGTAGCTTCCAGAGGTCCACAGAACATCACGGCAGAACTCGGCCCTCGAGTCTCGAGTACCGCACATCAAGAACCGAGGAGAAGGGACGCAGCAAGCCGGGCGTTGGCAACACCTTGACCACTCCCGCGAGGGCGTGGACCATGATGCGCAGCTCCCGGAAGAAGCGGTGCTGGCGGATGACCCTCGACACCAGCACCTCGGGGGGATTCTAGGATTCTAGGGCGGCATCGCGCGCGCCCGCGAGGGGCACGGGGACAGAGAGAAGAAGAAGGCCACCGACGACGACGACGAAGACGAACGGCGAGGACGCCTAACGGCACGACGACGCCGACGGATGAACGAACGCAGCAACTCGAAGCACCTTGAGGGGGTCGGGCGCACGAGGGGGTGGAGCAAGAGGGGGGCTCGACCTACAGGCCGTTGCTCCATGGGGCCTCCTCGCGGGCAGGCGGCGGGCTGACGGCGCAACTTGCAGCGCAACCCACAGGGGGCGGCGCACTCCGAGGCGCCAAACCCGTGGAGTGCACAGTGCAAGCGACGCACGGACTGCGCAAGAGCCATGACGCAGCTGACGGATGGCGCAACCCAGACCGCGGCGGCTCAGGCCAGTTGATCGCGCAGCCCACGAAGCGGGGCGAGGGGAGCCAGGGGGGGGAGGGGCGCCGCCCTGCTCAGACGGCGGGAACTCCTTCCATGAGGCCCCCCGACGCCGCTCTTCCAGGGCCGCCCTCTTCGCCACAGCCCCGCGCACCAGCGACAGCACCCTGCCGATGCGCAGGGTGGAGAGCATGGCGAGCCCGACCCTGAACTGCGAGCTCGACCTGCGCAGGGGCCCCATCCTTCTCTGCCTCCTTCGCCACCGCAGCCCATCACGATCCACTGCAGGCAGCTGCGCAGACGAGGTGCATCGGGCGAGCCCAGATCCGCGCGATGGCCGCCCTGCAACAGGCGAGCCAGCGTGCGAGACCTGGGCCTGAGCAGAAGTCACCGAGCGGGGAAGAAAACCGATGGCGGGATCCAAAAACCTTCGATCCTTTAAAATTGCATCTCTTGGGGGCGAAACTTTTACTTCCGCTGGCTTCCGTCGGCGGGGGCGCCCTCGTTGCGCTTCCGCCGCCTCCCGCCGAGGAAGGAATGCCGACCTTTGGATTCCTCGAAGACGAGGCCCTCTGTGTAACGTGGCATGTGCGTAGCACACCGCGTGTGCGGACAAGTGGGTGGGGGGGGGCCTCTGTGCCTCGTGAGGGGGTGCGCTGGAGGCCGTGGGGGCCTCCCTGAGAGGGGCCCAGGGGCGCACAAACAAGTACACACGGATCCCATATTGTTCCACATCTTCTGGGTTTTCGTCTCCCCCCCACTTCCCATGTTTTCCCATATTTTCCTGGGAGTCGTCGATTCATGATTATGTCTGCGTGTTTCTTTCCCCCCTGATCCTTGAGAATCCTGGGGGCACCTCGGGCCAGGGGCACTCCTGGCAACACCCGACCCTTTCGCAAAACGCCCTTTGGCGAAAAGCTGCTGGGGCACTCCACGGGTGCGCGCGGCACTGCATTCCGAGTGCACCTGGGCGGAATCACCAATCGACGTCCAAAAACAGCCAGTTTTGGACGCCCGAAATGGGTAAGGGAAAAATGGGTACAATGCCCAATAAGAAATGTTGTCCCAAACCAACAGCGGCCGCTGTTGGGCAGGCGGCCTTCTGTCTCAAGTGGACGCAGGCCGCGGCGGCGCGGACAACGAGTCCTGTTCAGAATGGACAGGATCTGCTGTTGGGCATTGTGCCACATTCTTTCCGTGCCCATTTCGTTCGTGCCGACCGGTGAGACGCACGTCGATCAGCGGTATCGGCCAGGGACTGTACCGGCACACTCGTATGCCAATGTCGAGCGAGCGGATCCGTGCAGATTCCCTCGGTCGACTTGTCAGGGTGGGCGTGCTCTCCATGCCTGGCCGAAGGTGTGGCCCCCAGGGGCAGCCTCCTCTGTCTGGCCAGCACGCGCCCAAGTGGAACCGCTCGTTCCCCAAAGCAATCTGTCAGTCGTTCTCCCTCTGTCCAGACAGCGCGATAACTCCAAAGGAATCGTTGACCGCCGTAGGTGAAACGCAATGGGAAAGACAGGCAGGATCCTGTAGGCGAGCATGGGCGGACATGCAGAAGTCAAGTCCGAGGCGGCCGCGCCACGCGCCGAGCGAAGAACAATTGTCAAACCAATGTGCCAACACACATCAGCATTTTTTCCTCTCGCCGATGTCGTCAACCTTGCCCCGTATCGTCCTGGCTGATCCTTTCCGGGCAAGGGTTCGGATAGAGCGGAAACGGAACGAAACAAATCGAGCTGAGCATACGCGCGGCGCAGGCGGCCTTCGATGTGACCACGGTGGCAAGGCTTCGGGCTGCGCGCAGACAGCCCCCCCCCAAATAATCCCGGCTGGCCTCAACAGGCCCCGCGGATAGCGCCCCAGGGGCACCGCCGGAGGCGGCGCCAGGGCGCTGAGCCCGCCCTGGACTACTCGGGAGGCCTGTTGGGGCCAGCTGAGGCTACGCAGGGGGCCTGTTGGAGCCAGCCAGGACCACCGGGGAGGGGGGACTGTCTGTGCGGGCAGCCCGAAGCTTCAGCAGGCCACGGCGAGAGCACGGGGCCGCGAGGACGTCAAGGTGGGGCATAGGGGCAGAGGTGGGACTACGGGAAGATCGCTTCAGACGACTCCCGGAGTAAGACATTCTGAGCATCCAGCGAGGTTCGCTCACTAAGCACACTTTGGGACCTGGACGCCCGAAATGGGCACACGGGTACGATGCCCAATAACAAATGTTGCCCAACACCGACAGCGGCCGTTGTTGGGCAGGCGGCCTTCTGCCTCAGATGGGCAACGTCCGCGGCGACGCCGGCAGCGCGTGCGGCTCAGGATGAACCGGAACTGCTGTCGGTCGTTGTGCCCATTCTCTCCGTACCCATGAAGACGAAGCCAGGACGAGGATAACTTCGGGCACGAATGAATCGAGAATCCCTGAGACCCCGCGGATCTGGAAGATGTCTCGGGTGCCGCGGCCTTCTCAGAGCGTTCCGGAACGCTCTGGAACGGATTTATACTCGTCCTAACCTCGCCCGTCCCGATCTTCCGCCGCCCTTCCGCCGCCTTCCGCCGAGCAAGAGATGACACCCCCTTCGATCCTCAAAGGCAAGGCCCTTTTTGGAACGCCTGCGGAGCAATGCATACGCAGAAACTATAGGAGGTCCTCCCCCTCCTCCTCCTCCTCCTCCTCCTCCTCCTCCTCCTCCTCCTCCTCCTCCTCCCTCTCCTCGTCCTCGCCTCGTCCTCGTCCCCCTCCTCCTCTTCCTCCTCTTCCTCCTCTTCCTCCTCCTCCTCCTCCCCCTCCTCCTCCTCCTCCTCCTCCTCCTCCTGACCCCCCGACGGAGTGCCTCCGGCCACTGCGGCGCTCCGAGCCTCGAAGAGCGCTGCGCGCTCTCCCGCCCGTGGGTCGCTGCAGGGCGGCCCCAGGAAGTGGCCCCGGGGAGTGCCCCCCCCGCGTCGCGGCGCGCGGCGCTCTCCTGCCGAGGAGCCGCCCGTGTGGCAGCCCCAGGGAGGCTCGTTTTGCTGGGAGAGGAGGAGGAGGAGGAGGAGGAGGAGGAGGAGGAGGAGGAGGAGGAGGAGGAGGGGGAGGAGGAGGAGGAGGAGGGGGAGGAGGAGGAGGAGGAGGAGGATGAGGATGAGGATGAGGATGAGGAGGAAGAGGAGGAGGAGGAGGAGGAGGAGGAGGAGGAGGAGGAGGAGGAGGAGGACAAGAGTAAACCCAAGACGCGTCAACGAGGCCAGAGGGTTCCCATGGTGGGCCCCGAAGGGGTTGCCGGGAGGTCCAGAGCCCGGAGCAGTCCCAGCGAGGCACCCCGTGGCCCCTCGCAGGGCCCAGGGAAGCCCAGATCCTCGTCGGGCCTCCGACCCTCGCTCGTGAGAGATTTCAGCGCTCTCGCATCGTCGGGCCTCCGACCCTCCACCACGGCCGAAGAGACCCCCAGTCTCGCCCAAAGACGCCCCAAGGGAGACCCCAAGGCGGCCCTAGGAGGCCCCACACATTCTAGTATGGGATCACATGTAGAATTGATCTACCCCAGAATTGACTTTTCTAGTCGAATCCATGGAACATGTGCCGAATTTCGTTCGTCTAGAAACATTATACAGATTCGTTCGTAGACTTGACGCTTTATTTTTCAGGTCAATCATTTATGTAGTCGATCTCCTCATCGAAAAATGCCCCAGAGCCCCCGAGATCGCCCAAGAGGCTCTCGAGAGGGGTCCAAAAAGATGCCTAAAGAGCGGGAAGAACACGGCCCTCGAGTCAGCTCACCGCACCCGAAGACACCCCCAAGAAGCCGCCAAGACTCTCCCACGAGGCTCCTGCGAGGCCCAGAGAGGCCCCAACGAGGCACCCAAGAAGCCTTGAGATCGCTCCCACTGGCCTCCCGAGAGGGCCCCAGGAGGCAAACATCATTGTTGTTTTCCGAATCCTCCTGCGTTGGGTTACTCGTTTTGAACAGAGCACTGCCCGCGCGTCTTCTCCTTCTCCCACCCCCCTCCTCCTCTCCTCTTCTCTCCTGCCTCTCACATCGCTCCTTCCTGCGTGCCAGCTTGCCTCCTACCTGGCCATCCCTGGGGTCTGTGATCTGCGATCTGCGAAACTGTCGCCACTTTCGAAGGCTGCTAGGGGTCCAGCGGAGTGACGTCTTACCCAGACCACCAGAGACCTCGCCATCCCTGTGGGGCTGCGATATGTGAACCTGTCGCCACTTTCGAGGGCTGCTGGGGAGGGAAAGAGAGAGCGAGAGAAAGAGAGAGAGAGAGAGAGAAAGCGAGCGAGAGAGAGAGAGAGAGGAAGAGAGGTAGCGAGAACGAGAGACAGAGAGAGAGGGAGAAAGAGATAGAGGGAGGGGCATTGACAGAGAAAGATACGGAGATGGGGGAACCACGCGAGAGCTGGACCTCTGGTGCAGGTGCGAGTGGTGCCCGATGGCCTGGAGCAGCTGCGTGGCCGCGACCAGCAAGTGGAACGACTGCCAGAAGGCACCTTAGTGGACCTCATTGGGCCCTGCAGGCGACAGGGTATATTTTGTGGTTTTCCCAACCATCCTGTGGTGTTGGGTCATTGTTTTGAAAAGACAGCGCCCCGCGTCACACCTCACCTCACATTCCTCCTCTCTCTCCTCCCTCCTTTCCTGCGCGCCTCTGCTCTTTGCATCAACCTACCATTTCGGCACACCCCTCACACGTTTCGTGGCCACCTAGGAGCTCCGCCGAAGGCCCTAGTGGCGGTGTTCGCATGCGTCCCCGCACCCGATCCAGGACCCCCCTCACACGTTTCGTGACCCCATCGGGAACTCCACCGCAAACCCCGCTGGCGGTGATCGTATGCGTCCCCGCACCCGTTTCGGCACACCCCTCGCACGTTTCGTGGCCCCATGGGGAGCTCGACCGAAAGGCCGAGTGGCGGTGTTCGCATGCGTCCCCGCACCCATGTGGGCACACCCCTGGCACGTTTGTGGCCACATAGGGAGCTCCGTCGCAAGGCCCAATGCCGGTGTTCGCATGCGTCCCCGCTACCTATTTCGGCACCCCCCTCACACGTTTCGTGGCCAAATGGGAAGCTCCACCGAAAGACCCCATGACGGTGTTCGCATGCGTCACCGCAACCGATTCGACACACCCCTCACACGTTTCGTGGCCCCAGAAGGAGCTCCACCGAAGGCCCCAGTGGCGGTGTTCGCATGCTCCTGCCACCGATGTCGGCACATTCCTCACACGTTTCGTGGCCCCATCAGGAGCCCCACCGAAGGCACCACTGGCGGTGCTCGCATGCGTCCTCGCCAGCCGTTTCGGCGCACGCCTCACACGTTTTGTGGCCACATAAGAAGCTCCACTGCAAGCCCCGGTGGCCGTGTTCGCATGCGTCCCCGCCACCCATGTGAGCGCACCCCTCACACGTTGCGTGGCGCCATAGGGAGCCCCACCGAAGGCCCCAGTGGCGGTGATCGCATGCGTCCCCGCACCAGTCTCGACACACCCCTCACACGTTTCGGGGCCCCATAGGGAGCTCTACCCAAGGTCCCACTTGCGGTGTTCGCATGCGTCCTCGCCACCCCTTTCGGCTCACCCCTCAAACGTTCCGTGGCACCATAAGAAGCTCCACCGAAGGCCCCATAATGGCGGTGTTCGCATGCATCCGCGCCACCCATGTCGGCACACCCCTCACACGTTGCGTGACCTCACAGGGAGCCCCACCGAAGGCCCCAATGCTAGTGATCGCATGCGTCTCCGTCACTCATTCGGCACACCCCTCGCCCGTTTTGTGGCCTCATCGGGGGCCCCACCGAAAGCCCCAGTGGCGGTGTTCGCATGCGTCCCAGCCGCTCATGTCGGCACACCCCTCGAACGTTTCGTGGCTCCATGGGGATCTCAACCGAAGGCCCCAATGGCGGTGTTCGCATGCGTCCCCGCCACCCAATCTGGCATACCCCGCACACGCTTCGTGGCACCATAGGGAGCTCCACCGAAGGCCCCCTTGGCGGTTTTCGCATGCGTCACCCCTCGACACCCATTCGGCTCACCCCTGAAACGTTTCGTGGTCCAATGAGGAGGGAGCTCCACCGAAGGCCTCAGTAGTGGTGTTCGCAAGCGTCTCCGCCGCCCATGTCGGCCCACCCCTCGAACGTTTCGTTGCCCGATAGGGAGCTCCACCCAACACGATGTTCACCAATGCGCTACTCGCAACTGCAGATGTTTGGGTTTTTCGCAAAGATAATTGGCCCGACAGATTTATGCTGCCAATTGTTCCCAACCATCCTGTGGTGTTGGGTCCTCGTTTTGAAGAGACAGCGACACGCGCCTTCTCTCCTTCCTTTCCCCCCTCCTCCCTCGTCTCGTCATCATTCGCATCACCGTCATCATCATCATCATCATCATCATCATCATCATCATCATCATCATCATCATCATCAGCATCATCATCATAATCATCATCATCATCATCATCATCATCGTCGTCATAGCATTACCATCATCAACAACATCACCATCACCATCACCATCACCATCACCATCACCATCACCATTACCATCACCATCATCATCAGCATCATCATCCTCATCATCATCATCATCACCATTATCATCATCATCACCATCACCATCATCCTCATCCTCAGCCTCATCCTGATCCTGCCTGATCCTGATCCTGATCCTCATACTCATCCTCATCCTGATCCTCCTCAACATCATCATCATCATCATCACCATCGCAAGCATCATCATCATCATCATCATCATCATCATCATCATCATCATCATCATCATCACCGTCACAATCGTCATCATCATCATCATCATCGTCGTCGTCGTCGTCATCAGCATCACCATCAGCATCGACATCACCATCATCATCATCACCACCAGCATCAAAATCACCATCATCATCACCACCGCCATCATCATCACCCACGTCACCGCCATAATCATCATAATCATCATTATTATCAGCATCAACATCACCATTATCAGAATCATCGTCACCATCGCCATCACCATCATCATTATCCTCATCCTCAGCCTTATCCTGATACTGATCTTGATCCTGACCCTGATCCTGAAACCCATCCTGATCCTGATCCGTATTCTCCTCCTCCTTCTCCTCATCGTCATCATCATCACAATCATCAGCATCATCATGATCATCGTGATGATGATGCTGTTTGTCATCATCGTCATCACCACCACCATCATCAGCATCATCATCACCATCATCATCATCAGCACCGGCACCAGCATCATCATCATCAGCATCATCATCATCATCATCATTATCATCATCATCATTATCATCACCAGCATCATCATCATCATCATCATCAGCATCGTCATCACCATCATCCGAATCATCATCATTAGCATCATCATCACAATCCTCAGCATCAGCATCATCGCCATCACCATCACCATCACCATCACCATCACCATCACCATCACCATCACCATCACCATCACCATCACCATCACCATCACCATCATCATCATCATCATCATCATCATCATCATCATCATCATCATCATCATCATCATCAACATTATCGACGCCACCATCACTATCATCGTCACGCATTTGGGCACACCCCTCACACGCTTCGTTACCGCATAGGGAGCTCCACACAAGGTTCAAGCGGCACCGTTCGCATGCATCCCCGCCACTCATTTTTGCACACCCCTCACTCGCTTCGTGGCCCCATAGGGAGCTCCACCTAAAGCCTCAATGGCACCGTTCGCATGTGTCCGCGCCACCCATTTCGGCACACCCCTCACACGCTTCGCGACTCCACCTATTCCAACATACCATACCCCTCACACGCTTCGTGGCCCAATAGGGAGCTCCACCCAAGGCCCCAGTGGCGGTGTTCGCACGCTCCCCCGCCACTCATTTCGGCACACCCCTTACACGTTTCGTGGCTCCACAGGGAGCTCCGCCGAAGGCACCAATGGCGGTGTTCGCATGCGTCCCCGCACCCGATTCGGCACCCCCCTCACACGTTTCGTGGCCCCATTAAGAGCTCCACCGAAGTCCCCAGTTGCCAGTTGCGGTGTTCGCATGCTCCTGCCACCGATTTCAGCATACTCCTCACACGTTTCGTGGCCCCATCGGGAGCCCCAACGAAGGCCTCAGTGGCGATGTTCGCATGCGTCCCCGCCCCTCATTTCGGCACACCCCTCACACATTTCATGTCCCCACAGGGGGCTCCGCCGAAGGCCACAATGGCGGTGTTCGCATGCGTCCCCCCCACCCATTTCGGCACCCCCCTCACACGTTTCGTGGCCCATCGGGAGCTCCACCGAAGACGATACTCACAGCTGCGGTACTCACAACTGCATCTGGTTGGGTCCTTCGCCATGCTAATGTTACAATGTCTGGCATACTTGTTTCGACGTTTCCGGCGCTGCTGTTTTACCGCAAACATTTCCCCTGGTGGGGGCCTGGGGCCTGGTACAAATCATCACTTGGTTTTGCTACTGGATCCGAACCGTGAACTACTTCCTGAAGTCCTTCGGATCCCTGGACTGCCCAAGCCGTTTCGGTGAACCACTTCTTCACTGTTTTGGTGAACCGTTTCTTGCCGTTTCAGAACCCAGAGACACAGTTTTTTGAACACGGCACCAGAAACCTGCCCTTTCGTTTCCTGGGCCCACTAAGGAAGGCACCGAGCGTCTGGTCGAACTTGCCGCCGGCGAGCCTCAGCAGTTGGTCGACCAAGACGCAGGCGCACGAGATGTCCAGGAGCACCGTGAAGAGCGGGGCGTCGGCGATGCCCCCTGCGCCGAGGTGCGCGCTGGGGGCGGCCCCCTGCGCGGCATGCTGCATCTCCCACACGACGAGCACGGCGTCGAGGAAGATCACCAGCACCTGCGCGAGCTCGTAGGCCGGGCGCCGCACGAATCGCTGGACGCACGTCGGCGCGGCGGCCGACACCCTGGCCACCGCCGCGCCGAGGGCGCGCCTGCTCGACATCGACATGCGCGACGTGCTTTCCATCTTCAGGAGTGAGTGCATCCAGTTGTTCTCGGACTCGGTGATGTCGAAGGTGTTGTTGCGCAGCCTGGCCGAGATCTCGCGCCGCACGCTGTGGCGCAACGGGCTGGTCGGCGCAGACGCGCTCGGGCTGGGTACTGGGGAGACTGGTGACTGGGGCTGGGGCGCTGGGGACTGGGGCTGCGAGCTGGAGACTGGGGGCCGCCTCAGGCCCGCGAGCTGGGGCTGCGCCGCACGCTTGCCCTCGTGCGGACCAAGGCTCGGCCGAGGGAGAGTCTTGGCACCCACCTCCCGCGCCGACACGGTGCATCTCCTCGGCGACTGCGACTGCGTCGGAGTAGTCGGAGGCTTCCCCCCATAGAGCTCCCTGTCAGGACCAGAGCAAGACGCGGACAAAAAGCGGGCACGGGCAGCTCGGAGATCTCTCGGAGAGCCACTGGGCCCTGACGGCGTATCTGACGCCGCGGCTGGTGCCGAGCGCTCCCGACCAACACGAGAGGACTCCTCGCGAGCGGCAAACATGTCCATGTCGCATGCCCTCTCGGTCTGAATGCCACGGCGCGATCACATGGGTAACGCGATCCCACGAATGCGCTCCGCGGGAGGCATCCCCGCAAATCCGCCCTGTATCCATGGGGTCGCGGCCGAGGAGTCCAGACCGAGGCCGTGGCTGTAAACATGTTTCCCGCTCGCCAGCATCGGGCGCCGCGGCCGCTCCGAAGCACTCTGGAACGCCAGAAAAAAAAAATCCGCAACGCTCTGGGACAATTCATCCGTGCCCGAAAGCTTCCTAAGGCATCTGTGCACGATCGCCGTGCCTGGCAAACGCCGTCCTGGGCCCTGGGATGGTGTATACGCTCTCCTGGCCCAGGCCAGGGGTCTCTATACAAGATCCTACGGCCCAAGATGGCCCTGGCCAGGCACGGGGAGGGCATCATCAGGTGTCTGCTGGGACGGAGCGGTTCATCCGTATCCTGGGGCTGCCTGACCTGTGCCTGTCGAAGACCTCCTCCATATCGAGTCTGAGTTTCTCCAGCGCCTGTGGCACGGCCCTGTCCTCGGTGCTGGCCCAACCCATGGCGGCGGGCGGCGGCCACCGTCGCGGCGAGGAATCGCCGGAATCGCGGCGACGACTGCCACCGTCGTCCGTGCCGGCGCAAGAGTCACCGCACAACATATTGGACCCCCCAGACCCCCTCGCGTCGCGCACGATCACATCGCGCATTGCTTTGCCAGTCTTCGGCCACTGGGAACCCTTACTAGGTCCTGGGGCCGTCATGGACTCGGGATGGCAACCTGGTCCTGGGGGAGCGAAGCCCACGCTGTAAAACAAGCCGACGTCGGGGGTCTGGGCCTGGCGAGCCGTCCATGCTGGCCAAGGAGGCCCTGCCATGCAGGAGAGCGAGCCTGAGCCAGCGGCAGAGGGTGAGAGGAGGTGAGAAGAGGAGGAGGAGGAGGAGGAGGAGGAGGAGGAGGAGGAGGAGGAGGAGGAGGAGGAGGGGAGGAAGGGACGGAGAAGGATCAGTTTTATGTTACCCCGAAGCGCAGGCCGCGCTCGGGCGTGGGAAGCTTGGCCTGCCCTCAGAGGCGGAGAGCTGGCCAAAACTGCCGCCTATCTCCCACCGTGGTGTGCGCGTGGCTGCGTGCAAGTTCTCATTCTCCACCGCAGTCGGCCCTGGCAGCCTCACTGTTTGTGGTACCTCTATCATGATGTTCTGGAAGAGGTCGCTAGTTTGCTCATGCCATGTGGAGAGCTAGGGTGCTGGCCGTATCGTCGCGTGGCCACCGAGCTTGTTAGGCCACCCAAGCCCGACAAGCCAGGGAAGCATCTGCTCATAGCCCTAATGGAGATTCTCGTCAGGGTGCGGAGGAGGGCGCGGGGGCCTGTGTCGGTGGAGTTGAAGGGGGGCAATCGCAGCGAACTCTTTTGGGGCTCGGGCCCAGGCAGGTCGAGCCCGACTGTACCTTTGCGCGCAATCTAGAGGCTGAGATTGTCAGGCGCACTGGCCAGCACCGCGTGACAGTTTTGACAAACATGATTGGGAGTTGTGAAGTTGTGATCTTGTTAAGCACGAGGCCGTGATGGCCGAGGCTGCTGCTGTTGAGTCCCACCTGCGTTTAGCTTGGATGCTGGTTTGTAGCTACGTGCCGTCAGCCTCGGCACATCAGAGGGTTCAATTCTCGTAGTATGTCCCACACGTCTTTTCAGGGTTCCTGGCGGGATGTTCGCACGCTGCGACCCTCATGCAGGTTCTGCGGATGCGGCCTCTCCAGAGTCTGAAGGAAGAGTTTGAACTTGTTGTGCCCCCAGGCTTGGTGGACGACGTATCGTTTCACTGGGTTGGGCGCCTGGCCGGGCAGGCGGATCGCTGTCGTGGCTTTCGGCAGTGACCCCGGCCCTCTCAGATTCCTCGCTCAAGCGTCCAAGCCGAGCTTCTTGGCGCTGCCAGCCGAAGCAGCGCGGGCCGTGCGGGCCAGAGCGAGCCAGCTCGAGCTCAAGTCGTTTGATAGTGCTCGTAGTCTTGGCCACGACACCTTCGCAGGGAGAGCGGCGCACCGGATCATTGGGCGCAAACGTCTCGGGGCTGCCCTTGGAAGGCGGGGCAGGCTCAGGGCCCTCAAGAGGGCCAGTGGTCTGAAGGTGCGAGCTCTGTGGGGCGCGGGGGTCCTTCCGCCCGCGGCTCATAGCGCGGGGCTGCCGGGCTCGCCGACGCGACCCTTGTGACGCTCGGATCCTGCTCGGGAGAGCTGGCGGGGGCCAGGCCCGGCCTCTCTCGCTGTGTGCGCTCGCGCGCAGGAAGACAGGACGTGCGATCCCACGTCGGAAGCTGCGCGCCCACTGGCTGCCATAAGTGCTCGCTGGGTCTGGGGTGCTCCTCCCCTGGCCTGCTCTTTCTGCGCGGGACGTGGTCATGGAGAGGCTGGGGTCTCAAGGCTCTGGGAGGCAATGATGGGCCTGTTGTCCACCACCACCACTATAACCGCATGCCGATGATAATAAAGGGACCCCCCCCTTCAGTGTTTAGAGTTGATTATCGTCGACCAATCAGAGTTTGGTCGGGGGCGCGGGGGCGCGGAGGCCGAACTTCATTATCACGGGAAAAGTTCGCCATCGAAGTTACTTCCTTCTTATGTTGAGATAACAACATCAAGCGAAGCGAACATGTTGTTTCAGGATGTCTCAAGCGAAACCAATGTCTTTCTGTCTCTTTGTAGTTCTTTATGTCTCTCTTTCTTTCTTTCTTTCTCTGTCTCTCTTTCTCTCTCTTTCTCTCTCTCTGTCTCTCTATCTCTTTCTCCTTCCTGGCCTCTCTGTCTCTCTCTCTCTCTGTCTCTCTATCTCTTTCTCCTCCTCCTCCCCCTGGCGCCCTGAACTTGTTTATCGCTGGGGTTGATTCTCCAGGGAAAACGAGGCACGTGAGCTACCTACCCTACACGAGCACTTTAACATTTTAATTTTCATAAAGCGCATGTACATAAAATTTAATACATTTGAATCTTCAGTTTTTTTGTCTTATCCTCCTTTCCTCTTCTCTTTATCACTTTCATTTCTTATTCTACTTTTCTTTTTAAACATATCTTCTCTCTTTAAGTCCTTCCTTTCTTTTTCTTTATGATGTATATCTCTTTCTCTCTCTCTCTCTCTCTTTCTCTCTCTCTCTCTCTCCATGCCCCCCCCCCTCTGAACGTTTTTTATCCCTGGGGTTGATTATCCATGGAAAATGAAGCACATGAGCTACCCTACACGAGCACTTAAAATTTTTAATTTTCATAAAGCGCTTGTAAATAAACTCTAATACATTTGAACTTGAGATTTTTCCTTCTCTTTCTCCTCCTCCTCTATTTTCTGTTCTTTTTGATTTGTTTCCTTTTTCTTTTTCATTTCTTATTGTTTCTTTTTATTTTTGTTTTTGTATATCGCTTTCTCCATTTCTCCGCCTTTCTTAAGCGAACTAAGCAATAGTTTGACGGTGTCTCAAGCGAAATAAGCAATCGTTTGTGGATGTCTCAAGCGAAACAAGGGATTTGTCGAGGATGTCTCCAGCGAGATAAGCCATTGTTGAGGATATTTCTATGAAGACTAAACGCCAAGGATGTCTCAAAACGTGCTCGGCTTGGTCTCCTCTTGATCATCTCTTACTTCGAGATTATGCTGAGGTCTGTTGGGCTACTTTGATTATCTCCCCCTGAACCCCGAACTTTATTATCCCCTAGTGTTTATTCTCACGGGCATGAGGTTAAGTTGCAGGGGGGAAGGAGGTGGAGGACGACGAGGATGAGGAGGAGGAGGAGGAGGAGGAGAAGGGGGAGGAGGAGGCCCCCCTCCCACTCCGACTGATGGTGGTGGTGGTGGTGGTGGTGGTGGAAAACAAGCCCATCAGGCAACGCTTTGGACCCTCTTCGGCCGTCATCTCTTCTCTGCGTAGAGCTGGATGGCATGTGGTCACTCTGCGCGCGCCTTCTGCGTATGCAGGTAAACACCTCTCCATTTTTCCGAACATCCACCGCGCGAGGGCGGGGGGCCTCGTGAGAGACGGGGTGGGGCGCTGGCCGTGGCGCAGGGTCCCCTGTTCACTGGCCTGGAGCTCTTGGCAACGAGCTCTGCTGGGCTCGAGCGATGTGCCTGGCGACTCTGGCTCCCAGCAGGTGCCTGCCAGGGGCCCCCGAGGGCGCTCCGGTCCGAAGGGCTGCGTGGCCTCCAGCTGGGGGGGGGGGGGGCACGTGGCTGGACCGTGCCCGTCGGCGGCGCGCGCGCTCTGCCGGGCTCCTCAGGGCACTCTTGACCATCGGGTCTACGAGAGCCAGCATACAGCCGAACATCTGATCAAGAACGTCATCACTTAAGAAACCTGGGCCAGCTTTCCGGACATTTCTTGGGGCGAACCTGGCCAAGTTGTCGTGTCAGCGCTGGAGGGGCGAACGCGCTCAAGAAACTGGGCCAGCTTTCCGGCAAGTTGGCCAAGAAACGCTGGCCCAGCTTTTCGAGAGGAGGTTTCTGAATCAAATGCTCGACTGCACCCTCGCATCAGGTGAAAAGGAGAGCGGCAACCTGGGCTTCCCAGATGATGCGTGGGAGCACAGGCAAGCCCTGCGGGAGAAAGGGGGAGGCATCCTCGGGACGGATGGGGACTCCGCTCCCCTCCTCTGTGGCCTCCCCTCGCTTGCTGTCCAACTGCCCCCCCTCCCCCCACTGGCGCGGCTGCCTGTGCGCTCCTGCGGCCTTGCAGACAAGGGCCGATGGGGCAAGGTTCGATCCGCGGGCGGCTCTGGTCTGCGAAGTTCAGTTCCAGAGGCCACGAGATGTGGCAGGAGTGTGGCTGAGATTTCTCTGGATGGATGGCTCATGCGGGCCAAGTTCGGAGACGTCCCAAGCAAGTTCCAGACGGTTCCCCGTAGCGAGCAGCGGGCTGGCTTTCAGGCCCGCTTGTTAGGGCCTCCCGCTGAAGGGGGTGATCCTGCCATAGTCACCGATCACCTGTCGTTTGCTCAAATGGGGCAAGTGTGGGATCCCTGTTTCAAATTCGGTCTGGCAACGCATGCTTCGATCTGGGGGGAACAGTGCTCACGCGCAGCACTCACAGCGTGAAGCCCGGTTTTCAGTGGACTCCTGCGCATTGGCCGCATCAGGGTTTTATCTAGAGCGGAACTGATGTCGTCGACCTGTGGAGGTTCTTGAGCAATTCATGTGCTGGCTTCTTTGTCGAGCTCGTAGACCAGGATGTTGCATTGGCTGGTCTTGCGGTGACTGTTCCTCGGGCCACGAACAAAGATTGACAAGCTGTTTTGTCAGTTCCTCTCGCGCGCGGTGCGGATCATCAGTGCGAAGGTTGAGAATCGAGTCCCAACGTAGCCCAAGGAGCCAGCAACGCTTCAGGCCCCTGGGCCGCCTGCTCTGGTGTTTGTTGCGCAAGACACTGTGCTCCTGGCCCCAGGGACTGTGGGTATACAGTGCATGCACTGCCTGGCCGTCGTTAGGGCCCCTGCCAGCTGTAAGACGCTGCTGAAGCCAGGGGCCACGTGCGAGCCCAGCGCTAGAATCAGCCAGCTTGTACAAGTGACCGAGAGGCCTGGCTGGAA